CTCTTGTTTCAAGCTCCTCCTCAGCCGGTGGAGTTCCACGAAGAAGGAGCAGCCGAAAAACAAGAATAGCACAGCGCTAGCTATTTGCAATGCGATAGCAGCTACTGCTGTTGAGTGCCATGTGGCGTACGGTTGCAACTGAAGCACAAAAAGACGAATGAGATGGCCACCTGCTTTTCAGTGCACCAGTCGTATATTTAGCAAATGAGTTGACACTGGCGAGCGGTTACTATAATTTCGGACGGGATAGAATCACCTCGTATGCTTCAACAGAAAGGCTGGGCGCAACGGTGCCACCATCGTCCCGAAGGAACCTTATCGACAACTCCAACACCGCGTTGTCAGAATTGGGATTTACCAGGACAGCGTAAAATGCCAATTCTGCACCTACATCCCGCAAGATGTCTTCATGTACGAGTTCGTTCAAGAATGACCGGAAAGCGGTAGGTTCGAAGAGCGGCTGGTACTCGCATTGGAGCGACTGACACGTAAATCCCAACCGAGCTGGATACACTGCTTCCCAACGGAGAGCTAGAGCAATACGGACAGACCGTACAATTATCGCACTGTTCCAGTTACACAGCACGAGCTGCTGGTACATATCACCTGCAGCAACAAGGCACCGCAATTTAGCTCGTCCACCTGAGAGCAAATATCATGCCGAACCGGCTGACTGAGCTCAGCCAGACTCCATAGCTACTGGGGAAATTAAAGTCAACGCAAATAGCATACCACCTGAGGATACTATCCGTGGGAATACTTCATCCATAAACTGAGGAGAAGGTGTAGAAGCCAAAAGACTCATCAGGCCGTTGTCTGCTTGTAGCCAGCTGTAGAGAGTCTTCGGCGAATTCACGCTAAACAAGTGTTGGCTAGGGAAGTTTATTTTAGCGTCAACATCCGGTAAGCCTGTAGCAGAAGGGCACCATGCACATCACAACAGCACAAAGTCAACGGTTTGGGCCTTGGCTACGGCTGTTGGAACCGTTAACTGGGCGGCACTTTGTGAATGAAGCAACGATAGGCCTAGTTGTACCGGCTGCTGCAACGAACTACAAAACTTTGTGACCCTAGCTGGTTCAACGCCAAAATGCATAAGCGACACCTAAGGAATGATCATTGCAGGTGAATTCAACAAGATCCAATGGAAACGTAGTCTTCGAAATCATCTTGCCAGACATTTCCCGCAGGTCTGCAGCCGCGTCCACGGACAACTGTAGAAATGTCAAGAGATCGGGCTAAGCAGAAAAATAATTTCCCGCTGGGAGACAGTCTCGGACTGTAAGACCCTGGTCCTCAAAAGTGCACCCTATGGCAGTGTTATTCGCAAAGAGAGCTGTAATCTCCGCCAGGAAGTCGTGGTGGGTCAAGAGGACGACTCGGCATTTCCTTCGAACTCACTTGCAAACTGACAGTAGCGACTATGATGGCCACGAACGCGATTACAAAGAGCTTCTTCCAAGCATCTTCGTGATCTTCCTGAATTTGGTTCCTTACAAGAACGTATACCTGGACAATATTGTGGAGAGATACAATACTGCACCGGTTTGTACACGCGCACATATTTCAAATGCAACTACATCTCGTAGCAGAACACGACGATCGCCCACTTTAAGCTGTACGTGATTATACGTACCTTAGCAACAGAGGGGGCAGGATCTTCTGCCAAGTGGGTACATGGGATATCCGGCGTGAAATACCAATTCGACCTGTCTGTTACGCCAGCCACGTTAAATCCGCTGAAACGCCCGTATGTCCTGGAGTATGCGCCTGCAGAAAGTATCGGGGACTCGCAACATCAAATTAAATGCAATACATTCGCTCAAAACTTTCTGCCTCTGGGGATCTACGTTCAGTCCTCTGCATGCACTCCATCCCATTAAATGCCCTCACGTGCAACGGAAAGCAGCTGCTTATAGATATTACAGTTTTCACACTGCCCCCTTTTCAGCTCGATGAATGCGCAGGGACTGCTTCACATATGCTAGCGGCTTATTATGTTGCTAATATATATATTAAGTCCGCAACCTTGGCGTGTACCTATGCTTGCTGGGTCCACGTAGAACTCTCGTTCATCTCCACTCTGAAATGCGTATTTGTTCCGGGGATCTTCCATGCCAATTACATTCCAAACCCACGGGGGGTATTGGGGGGGTGAGTTGTCATCTTCCTCGACTGACGATCGTTCTTCCTCTTCATGTTGTTCACGCCTGTAAAAATCTTTTCCTTTTTTTTTGCCCAAAAAGCGCAATCTCCGTTTCGCCTTTTTCTTTTCTTTAAGCTTTCTGGCCTCTTCAATATCATCATCCAGCCCATGGTTAGCGGGCTCATCAAGGAGCGCCACCCTTTGAGTTTTCCAACAGCCAGTCACGGCCTTCCAGAAACCGGTGCAGCCCGATTTCACGCTGTGCACTAACCACTCGTACCGCGTACGAAAGACATCCTGAGCAACATGCGTGCACATTACACAAGCTCTCAAGCAAAGGCAGCTCACCCGTCGGTATTTCAGGCTGCGCGGATGCAACAGGTGCGGGAAAAGAATAAGGGACGCTCATCACACGCTTAAATGGTAATTTTCGTATACACCAGCGCAAAGTGGGAAATGCTACCCGTTAAACATTCCACCCAGCTCGTAAACATTGTCGCCTGCACAAAATGATTGGAAACTTTACCTGTCCTCCGAGTTTGTACTTGATGACGCCTTGTTGCACTGATTCGGCACAGAAGTCGTACTTCCTCAGCACAACTGCAGTTACGACGGTAAATCCAAAGGCAGAGAAGACCAAAAACAGAGGCACGAAAAATATTCCAGCAAGTATAGGATTGACAGATGTCATCGTGTAGAGATTGTAGTTTCCAAGTGTCCCGCCTAAGAGGAAAGCGGCGGATGTCGTTAAGCTGCATACCACACAACGACGACATTTCGCAGCAATGGGGGATACTGGGCCAACGCTTCACTCGATTCCCCCTTTTTGTTGTCCGTCATATTCCAATGAAGTAAATCTAGGAGCGAAGGCGAAAGCTTGTGCTAACGATAGGGTTAACGTGGTGTGAGCCTGCCTTTCGTAGTAGCCGGTAAAGCTGCGAGTGACAACGCCGAATGATATGTTTCCAAGAGAGACGAAGACGAGGACGATGGCCAACATTCCTACGCTCGAAGCCACTATGTAGAACTTAACTTTGTGAAATGTCATTTGCAAAGACTTGGTTCCGATGCCTGCAGTAGCAGGGATCAACCTTGTTACCAGAACGCACCCTGTCAGTCCGGTGAGTGAACCGAAAATAATGCATGCCTGTTGAGCTGCATCGTTTGCACGGAACAAACTGTAGTAGTTATCGACCAGCTGGAAAAATCCCGATCCGCTGATCGCGCTGGGCGCTTCCAAAATGTTGTAATACCCATCACCTGCTACCGCTGTCTTAATTTCGGGGGCCAAAACCGCAATGAATTGTACAGCGGCAAACGCGGATAGCAAGCCAAACAATACAAGAAGATGAAACAACAGAAATATCGTCCAACCTCCCTTAAGCCAAGACTTAAAACCCAACTTCTTCATTTCCATGTACTCGCATAGCAAGTACAGAAACATGAACGCCAGCATCAAACCCAGTGACGTATAGCGCACCAGACCATCAGACTGTG